AGATATTCAACAAAATTATGAATACAGTTTCTTTGTGTGTGTGTATGCATTTTGGATTTTCTTAAAATATTAAAAGTTATCGGTCTATGGTCCACCAACTTATTCTTCTATACATCTTACATGGAGGCTTTTATTATAATGAAACTCTCTTCAATGATTTTATTTATAAAACAATAGCCACAGAGATATATGAAATTTCATGGCTCACTGATAGTTATCTAACCAAGTCATATAAGATTGAATCATCCAGGGTTAAATAAAACACCTGCCTCCAAATATATATTACCTGAGGTTTCTCTGATTTCAATCACACAATCAGCCAGCTGACCTCAGAGATGAGAGGCTAGATGAAGAAAAAGAGAGATTTGAGACACTGACTCTGTAACGCACTTAACCGTGTCAGCAAAACATTATATATATTTTTACAGTTTAGAATGGACCTTCCCAAACCAATAATATCTGAAATCACCATTTCAGTGTCTCTGAACACCTTGTAAGAAAAACAAAAATTGACCTTGATATATAAGATTAAAACCTAGAAATTAAAAACCAAGTAAACAAATTCAGATCCAAAGAAGGTAGATGTCAACAGAGATTTTTTTCAGATAGTGTTGTAAATACAACTCTCCAGAGATGTATAGGTCTTCGTACCGTATGCTTGAGCTACTCTTTAAGCAAGCAACTGAATAGTTTACACATACAGACTTATGGTAAATTGTCGTTGACTGAATGCATCAATGTATCTGTGTTTTAGAGACAAGACAAAGAGATAGGATTTCTGTCAGTGACAAGTGTGCCCAACTGTAGCCTCAGCCTGTGGTCCTCTCCTCTCTGATTGTGCTTTATTTCTACCCAGCCTCCCAGCCCGTGGCCCCACATATCATTCAGATCAGACGCTGGACAGGATTCCAGATACCACCTAACTTCCATGAATAGCCTCCTGCCATTCCCTCTCTCTACTGCCTATTTTAAAACCCTGCAAATCTTTTCAAATGGAATCTATCTTCTTTAATCCACAATTTCTAAATTAAAACCAGTACTTGGGACTGGCAGGTGTTGTGGTGGTTAGGGCTGCTAGACTCCCACATGGCCAACTGTGGTTTGAGTCCCAGACCTAGTGGCTTGCTTTCTCACTTTCTTTCTCTCTCTCTGTCCCTCTTTGGTTAAATTTAAAAAAAAATAAGTAAATAAATAAAGTTAAATCAAATAATTCTTTAAAAAAATAATAAGCCAGTATGGAAGTATCTGGCTCATATAGCTTGACTTCCACACTTAATTTAGTCATAGTATATTGTACATAATAGACAATTATTATATTTTCTTCATATACTAAGTATTACACTAAAAACAAATTTGAAGTAAAAAAATAAAATCTGTGAACAAATGTTCTTAATGTATTCTTATGACCAAGTGTGATTATGGGGAGAGAATTTCAAACCTGAAATACTGTTCAAATAGTAAGAGCATAATAACATCATGTAACATCTGTGATACTTTAGAATTTACTTGTATTCTTTTATAAACATAGATGTTACGATGTGATTCCCAGTCTGGCTAACATAAGCCTAAAAAGTTTCACCAAACAAACTTAGTTAAGTTGCATATCTCTTCTTCTTTCCCAGAAAAGAAAACAAAAAGTCTCGGACAACATAAGAAGGAGTTAGTCCATGTGGGGACTGATGAACTGAGACTGACATCAAGGAAATCGAATTCTGTAACCTCGTGACCTCCAAAACCACATTGGAAAACCAGAACCGGTGATCCTATTAGTGAGTCAACTCGTTTCTCTTTAAAAGTCAAAGGGGAAGTCTCAACACAGTGACAGACCCTCGGACACCATGAACCTCCAAAACTTTTCAGCAGTTTGTATCTATGGACTAATTTAATTTGAATTCAGAAATACCAGCTATTTTCAAAAGTAAAACCACAGTAAAATACAATTAAACCAATTCCAAAATAAAATTAAGATTCTGCATGGTCATATAGTTTTTACATTAAATTATATCTATCTCCTTTAATCCTTTATCCAAGTAGAAGCTAATACAATAATATGTCTTTTATAACATACACTTGCATACTAAAAAAAGATACTTTCATTTAAAGTATATTCAAATTTAAGTTGGAGATTTCTAATGTGTCAAAAGACTGCTTTTTTAAATTTAGTTATATACATTGAATTCAAAATATTACAATCTAACATATAAAGAGTTGAAAGAAATTACATATATTTTTTTCCAAAATATGAGGATGAAATAATTGCCACATAATGAGATTATGTCCTCAAATCATATTGTGACCTTTAAATAATTCCATAGTAGCAAGTGAAAATAAACACAATGCGTGTGATAATTTATTTCAACCCAGAATTGGCAACTTTGTGTAAAATAAACCTAGAATCTGCTTAGTCTAGGTATCAATGTACAGTATTTAGAGTGTTCTGTTGACCCTAAGGAAATCCGTCTTTGTGGTTAAAGTCTCCTTATATACACATCTATGTATATTATGCCATTATAAAGTTTAACATCCAGATATAACCTTTCATTGTACATTCTTGGGTGTAAAGACTCAAAGTAACCCCAGGTACCAAAAACTGGGGTAGGGTCTACTAGGTTTGGGTGCCAGTTACATGTATTTATATACTCTTACATCTTTTTGTAATCCACTATCTTTTCCTTAACATCTCCTATGATGTGACCAAGAACATTTATTTTAATTTATAATAGTTTGCTTTATGATACAGGATTTTGAATACTGAAATTTAGTAAGTTGAACATGTTATGTTTCCTGAAAACAATGTGTAATCTTGAATTTTCCAATGATACTAAACCCTTTTCTGGATCTTCGATAGATTGGTTGAGAATAGAATAACTGAATTTTGCAATCCTAGACTAAGGTATTTCCAGAAGCGCCAATAATCTTAGTATTGTTGGACTTCTTACAGAAGAGCAGAAGTTGCAGTGTGTTCTCCCTTGGTATTCCTTTAGTCTTGGATAAGCCCTACTGCTCTCTTAATATCCCCCCTACTCCTCCTGCTTATTTATCTTTTCATTTATTTATTCTATCAACAAACATTTACAAAGAGACATTTTCATGCCAATTATAGTGCTAAACAGATGAGAAATAACAGGCATAGCCTTGGAATTGGCTAAAAGAGTTAATAGTATCACAGAGAGAAAGCCAACTGTTCAATTAGTGCAGAGTTTGCAGAGTTTGTAAGGATGTAATGGCATAATTAAAGGATACAATAGGGACTTTAGAAGACATCTGACTTGGTGATATGAGGGTCAGGCAATACTTTCCTAAAGAAGTGATGCTCAAGTTGAAAATTGTAGCAGAAGAAATTTTTTTTTCTACCTTCTATCTATCCCATGCACTGATTGTTCTATTCTTGGCTCAGAGACATCTTCTCTCCCTAGTATTCTACTATCATTTTGGATGAAGTTAACATTCATGCAGAAGACCCATCTACATTGTCAGTAAATATATTATTTGACTATCCTCTCAATGCCCTTGACCTGCTTTCTCCATCGAACCATATAGAGATAACAATGACAAACTTTCAACTACAGTCAAAACATTTTATTTAGTATTTATCTAATTGAACTCTCTAAATATTTAACTATATTATTTTCTGGATTTTATTTTCCCTTTATTCTAAAAAAAATTAACTTTACTATTTTTCCTTATACCATTCTGTACCATTCTTTTTTTTCATCTTAGAATCTTTTTTTTAAATCTTATTTCGTTGCCCATCTCTAAAGTGTTGCTAATCCATAGAAATTCACATTCTTTCTTCAGCCTACATACTCTCTGTGGAACGGCTTCTGTAGGGATCTACTTGATGATGACTTCCAAATATCTAGTTATACCTTGGATATTTTATTTGAACATATCACTGTGCCTCAGTAAGAATATGTCTAATGAAGCTCATGATCTCTCTTCCCTCCCAACATTATTATAGCTGGCTTACATATCTAATTGTTCCCTACCTTCACATGATGTCATTGTGGATCTTGTGCTTCATTTTAGAAACCAGGATAATAATCCTCTTTTTTTCCTTCTACCACCCACATAGAATTAATCATCAAAATTTCCTAGATCCCTCCCACTCACTAATGTATCTAGAGGCCAGCTACTAATCACCAGTCTTATGACTACTCTTCTATTTTGGGTGACCATCACTTGTTAGTATTATGTCATTTTGTTTATAACAGATTGAATTTTGTTCCTATTGATTGTTTGAGTTTCTTATAAGATAATTATAGTTCTCACAGCATCAAACTCAGTGTTGGTGATTCAGCTAGCTTTAGTTAGTGTAATGAGGATTGATAATATGTGGTTTCAGATTAGAAACTAGCGATCACATGACTCAGCCATTGTTTCACCTTTATTATAAGGGAACATGCAGATGCAGAAAACACACAAAAATATGTGAATACGGTTAAAACCCAAGCAACCACACTCAGATCAAGAAATAGAACTAAACTAGGCATCCAGGCCATGTGAAGGCAGCTGTCTGCAAGCCAGGAAACCAACTGTGTTGGCACCTTAATCTTAGCGACTGAGCCTCCAGAACTGTGAGAAAATAAATTTCTGTTGTTTAAGCCACCCAGACTGTGGCATTCTGTTATGGCAGCCTGAGCTGACTGATACAGATGGGCATACAACCAACATAGACTGCATTAGAATATGTGAACTTTGAGGGAGAGAGGGTAATTCTACTTTTCTGGACTCACTAGCTTTAACAACAAAATCCTAGAGCTGCTAAAAGCCATTATGCTTGGTACACAGAGAAAACTTGCTGGTACAGATGATATGTCACCAAAGATGTTGACATGGGAGATAGGGGAGAAGAGAAGGAAGAAAACAGAATGTCAATGCATTGTTTGGAATTCTGGAACCAGTCACTTTGGAAGCCAGTGATACTTGCTGGAATTTTTAACTTCATGAAGCAGTAACTTCCTTTTTGTTCTTTTCCTTCTTTAAATATAATTCTTCCTTATTCTTCCAAATGATTCTGTTTTAGCTAGGTCTTTCTTATATACTGTCAATTAGAGCAGGGAATGAAGAAAGAGAACGCATTCAGAAGAGCAAGAGCAGTAGGCAGCTATTTGGGAAGGCTGAGGTGAGTGGGTTTCGTAACACATTCTTACATGATATTTGGGATTATTGAAGCAAGTTAAGAGATAGGTGAGGGAATGAAAAGAAAGTGAAGGTTCTACTTTGACTCCAGATTTAGTGTCTAAAATAATATTTTTGATAGTTCTCTAAACACGCATCAGATTTATTTAAGTTACTTTAAATCCATTTTTTTGGACACTGCTATTAAAGAGAGAAAGTGCCTATGTCAGCATATTTTATACCTTTAATAACCCTCCATACCCCGTTACACTAACCCTTCATTAAGGCTCTAAATAATTGCTTTATTTGCATATTTATACCATGTCCACCTCATTATAGATATTCAAGCATTTTTAATAGCATCAGCATCAAAAAAGAGAAAAATCATATGCTTTACAAATGACAAAACAAATTTATAAAGACCTCTGGCAATTTCTTTTTAATTCCTAAGCCAATGCAAGGGTTTGGAGATAATCAGTATGGTTTTAGACCACTACAATAAACAAGGAATTAGAAAATTCACAAGCCAATTACTACTCTTAGTTAACATTTAAAATGTACTTACTACAAAACCTCTTGTGATTTTTAAGAGCATTCAATATTTTGGGACCAGCAGATGGCATAATGGTTATGTCACTGGACTCTCACACAGCCGACTATGGTTCAAGTTCCAGACTCAGGGGCTTAAAACTCATTCCTGGCCTGTGTGCATGTGTCCAAAATCCTCAGAGGAAAATGGAGGAGAAGGGATTATGGCATGGCCATCTGCCTTGCAGGGTGATTTGTTGCTTTCTCTCTCTCTGTTTTCTCTCTGTCTCTCTGGTAAGCACATGCACTCTATAGTAAAAATCTCTCTCAAAAAATAAAAATAAATAAAAATAAAAATATTTTATTTATTCAATTCTTAAGGGATCCTGATTAGGCAATTATTACTATCTCTATCTACAAGTGAGGAAACAGGCATGGAAAGACTAAGATCACATACAATGTCACACAGGTAGTATAACTAGTATTCAATTCACAGCAGCCTGAAAATCAGTTTCACCTATTATATTACACTGTGAGGCCTCAAAGATAATTACATGTGTCCATATTGTTTTTAGCTGGAGAAATGAAGGCTGGGTGAAAATAAATAACTAATAAAATTCACATGTCTTGGTAATGGCTATACTATGACAGAAACTCCCAGTACTCAGATTTTTTTGTTCTAAAATCTTTCTACTATGTCTATAATAAAGTTCTCCAAACTGAAAATTCATGGTGACTTCAATCATGGAGAGGTCTAAAATTTCTTACAATTTATTTTTTTTAAGTTTTTTTTAATAGGGTACATGTGCTCCCCAGCGAGAGACAGAAAGAGGAAAAGTGAGAAATCACCCTCAGAAAATACCCTCTCCTCCATTCTCCTCTTGGAGTTTTGGGCATTCATGTATACACACACACACACATACACACACACACACATGCATGCACACACATGTGTGCACGCACATGCCCAGTGTGTTTTTCAAGCAGCAAGGTTGGAGACTCAAACCACACAGTTCGCTCTCTGTGGGATCCTGCATCTTAACTACGATACCATCTGATGGCCCAGTTTCTCACCATTTTAAAGCAGCTGTGTAATGTGTAACTTCACTAGTTGGACTACATTTATCTAGAATTCTTTTTCTTCTATGTTTCTGATTAGAGTGGACCACAAGGAGGTTCTTCTATGAGATTTAGAGAAAGAGCGAAAAGGCAACCATCTCTCAACTCACAAATATTGGCTCCTACCTGTCAGCTGACTTCACTGGTGTGAGACTGCAGCTAGGCCTGCATTTGCTCCACTTTTCCTTAGCATGTCCTTCAGTTTCTTTTGACTCCTGGGCAAGATGAATGTTTAACTTCATAAGGGAAAAACAAAACAAAACAAAAAAAACCTCCAGCTTTTTCTTTTTTTTTGGAGAGGTTCTCCCTATAGGGCATGTGTGCTCACCAGACAGACAGAGAGAGACATAGAGACAGAAAGCGAGAAATCACCCCCCAGAGGGGATGGTCACGCAGCAATCCCTTCTCCTCCATTCTCCTCTCGGGATCTTGGGCACACACGCACATGCGCCCGGCGTGAGTTTTAAGCCACTGGGTTCGAGACGCGAACCGCGGTCGACTATGTGGGAGTCCAGCAACATAGCCATTACGCTAACTGCTGGTTCCCCAAAACTCCAGCTTTTAGAGAACACCCATGTCCAAATTTCAGAGGCATCAAGAAATCACATAGATTTCAGCATGTTCTCATGCAGCTGCAGCTCAAATTTGTAGGTTCCAGCTTACTGTAAACTACTGACTTCAAGCCTTCTGTTCCCAGTGTTCTGCCCAGTCCCCTTCCACTATGCAAGGGGTTCATGAATTAAGTGGCCATCATGGCAGGAATGGAGGTTATCCATGGAGTCGGCAACATGAATTTCCACTCACCCATGTCAGTGCAGCTCTAGCCAAGGCTGAGTCTCCCTTTTGTCAATAGCAGAAACCAACACCGTATGCCCAAGACAGCATCATTTCCCAAAGGATTGGTCAGCTACCTTTTTGTCTTATTGATTCTATTAGGTGACTTCCATCACAGCATTTGTTTTTACTGGACTAAATCCTCCTGGAGCTTCAGCTTGAGCTTATCAGTTCTAAATTGTTATTGGCCTCCCTGCTTTATATCCATTTTACCTTCCCAACCACATTCTGTGTGGACTTCATGCTTTAGTATCAGAAACGAAGACCAGGGTTTTGCAGAGAATATGTAAGCAGCTTCCCACAATTGTGTAAAGTCAAATCTTGTTACAAAAAATATCTATTTATCATCTATCTTCTAGGTATTTCTCCATCTTCTAGTAGTTCTGCTTCTCTTACTGAACTCTGACAGATTCAAATAAACTATAAATTAATTACTAGTAATTAATTAGAAAAAAATTCAATTAAATTGTCCTCATGAAATACTTCTGTAAAATTGATAATATTAAAGAAAAGAAAAAGATTTGTTATTTGACTATCATAACTCCATTCCACTGTCTCTACCAAATCTCCATTGTCAACACAGATTTACTTATTTGAAAGCATGATTTAAATTGCCAATAACTTGGTAAGTGTTGGCGGGGGTGTGATGTAAGGGGAACTCTCTTGCACTGCTGGTGGGAATGTAAATTAGTCCAACCACTGTGGAGAACCTTTTGGAGATTCCTCAAAAATCTACAAATAGAACTGCCATATGATCCAGCAACCCCATTTCTTGGCATCTACCCAAAGGACAGAAGAATTTCTCACTGGAAAAGTGCTTGCACATCAATGTTTATTGTGTCACTTTTCATGATTGCTAAGACATGGAACCAACCCAAATGCCCCCGTATGGCTGAATGGATTGAAAAATTGTGGCACGTATACTCTATGGAATACTATTCAGCCATTAAGAATAACAAAACACTGGCATTTGACAGAAAGTGGAAGATTTACTGCTGAGTGAAGGAAGCCAGGCTATGAAGGAGAGACACTGTATGTCCCCACTTAATATAGACCAGATGTCCGCACTCTAACTGAAACAGATGGGCTAAAGGATGTACAAACACAAGAGGTGGATGTGAATGCCAGATGTGGTGTGTGTGGAGGAGTGGGGCCTGGGGAAAAAACATTTGAAGGAGGGATACGAAGACAGCATTGTTGAGACAGATAGGTAGTGTTATATTTTGATCAACTCGATCAGGGAGAAATGTTCACATATTGAAATAATCACCTTGTAAGCTAAATAATGTGATTAAATGAATTAAAAATGTAAATAAAAATAAACAAATAAATAAAATAAATAAATTGCCAATAACTTAAGTCAGTTTTGCAAATACATCCAAACACAGAATCATATGTAAATACACCTCTAATGATACTGTGACCATTTAAAACTATTTTATAACATCTCCTTTCTGTGTTCAACACAATTAAGTAAAAGAAATAATGTAACAACCATTTCACAACATGGGAAAACTGAGGCTTATTAGTGTTTTGGACCAGTTCATAGCCTACTGGTTAAGAGCAGCCAAACCCCAAATGACCAACTGCAGATTGAATCCTACCACAGTGGCTTGAAAAACATGCCAGGTGCATATGTGTGCATGCCCTAAGTCCTGACAAGATGAAGAAATGGGAAAGGGAGTGTGGATGGCCACACTCCACTGAGTGTCCTTTATCCCTCTCTCTCTCTCTCTACCTCTCTCTCTAGTGATTGCATATGCCCTATGGCATTTTTTAAAAGAATTTTCTTCTAAAGGAAGAAGATAGCAAAGAGATAACAAGATACATTGAATCCAGGATATTTAGTTCCATATCCCACTCATTTATGATCAAATTACTGTGTTGTTATGCCAAGCAAATTAATGAATTATGCTGTAAGGATAAAATATAACATTGCACAGAGTCTTGAATTTCTAGATCTTCTTTCAATATGCAGGTTTGGTAAATTTTAATTGTTGATGCTATGATTATCATTCTAAATATTTTTATCTGGCAGACCTTGGCATGATTAGGCTTCTGTACCTTTTTATGCTGATCTAGAATTGCTGTAAACCTAGCACACCAGAGGGCAGCAAATGGGTAGGGGATCCATTATTTGGATTTAGACTGGTTTGTTTTAGTTGCTTGACAATTATACATTCTTGATTAATTTTTTTAAAAGCTTTGGTATCCTCACCTGTCATCTGGGCATAAAAGTAACAGTTACCTAATATGCTATTATTCAAGTATTATTCCAACAGCAGTGGAAACCACTAAAACATTTTAAGAAGGAGCATTCTTATTTACTCTTAAATGATTACTCTGTCCTCTTTGTAAAAAACTGACTGAAGCAAAAATGGATGAAACAAAAGTAATAGCAGATTACAGCATATTAAGGAGAGAAGCAAATATTGGTTTTGATTAGGATGAGTGGAGTTACTATTTAGTGACATAGTTCACAGGATTTAGTTGTTTTAATGTTTGTTTTTGTTTTTTAGGTTC